ATCTGCCTCACTTTCTCCTCTTCTCCCCTTTATCTTCCCTAACCAGGTGGCTTTGTGGGTCTATGCTGTAATTAAAATAATGCAAATGAAATAATCCTGTAAAACACATCCTTCTGTCTCTGTTATTGAAGACCCCTTCCCGCTTTTTGTGTAATGACATATTTTGCTCTAAATAAACCAGCAGTTGCTGCTCGCTCCACAGAGAAATGCCAGTCAGGCAGCCAGTCAGGATTAGTCATTTCACAGACAGAGGTGTTCCTTTGGCTGAGCTGCTGTCTGAAAATGATCCAAGAGATAAAGTGCAAAAACAATGAGAAGTCCAACTGTTGTTGTGGTTGCTTTTTATGGCTTTGAAACTGTGCCTGAGAGTGTTTGATTGAATGTTATCGTAATTTTGGAGGCTGTAGTTTGTGATGTTGTTGAATTAAACAGATTATTTATTTGGATAACCTGCCAGGACAATTTTATGCCTTTTAATGGAAATATAATATTGGTAAGCAATTAAATAATATTGGCATGGCACATGTGGTGCAGGGGTAACCACGTGCCTACAATTCCTGGCATGCTTCTCAAGGAATACATCTGTCTGCTGGTTGAGGGATGATGTAAGGTCACATTGCTTTGTTTCCCACTCACATGGACGCATTCAAGCGTGTGTTTCCTGTTTGGCTGCAATCTCCAGACAGCTATTTGCAGGTCAGAGTTCACCTTTGATCAACTATGACTTTGCGTATATGTTTGGTTGGCCAATAGAAACACTGATGCACTATTTGGAAAAATTATCTAATACTTTTATCACACTATCACACTGTAGTGTCACTCACACACACAGTCTGTGATTGCTCAGATAATTAATTTATTACCCACATCACAAATGTGACATCTCGTCTTTTTTCAGGGCAGAGTGCGGGTACATTTTGTTGAATGGAAACATAATTTGAATGTACCTTCAGAAATCTTTGTTGTTATTGTTTAGAGGAAAGATATTCATTTTCATTACATCACTGAGTCCTTAAACAAACAGTCCCTCGTCTTAATGAGTTAAGAGAAATTAATCTAAGATGCAAAAGGGCCACATGCCGAGTCTTTTTTTAACCTAGCCCTTTGTCTGAACATCTCTGCATCAGTGCTATGAACAGAATACACCTGTAGTAGCACTACACGCTAACATGCAGACACACATACACACACAAATAACAGGTGTGTAGCAGAGAGCATTTTAGGTTTTAAAAATCCTCCAAACTTACAAGCACTTCTCTCACTGACTCCAGAGCTTTGATGAGGTCAGCTCTGCCACTGTAGCTTAGAGGATAGAACAGGAGAGGAGAAAGGAGTTATTTTAGTCTGCTTCAAATGTAAATGTATCAATTTTGTCTAATGTTTGCACAAGGATCTTTATATATTTTCTCCTGTGCAAATATTGCAACCAATTCAAGAAATTAATTCCCTTCAAAAAGCATTTGTAACAAACTAATAAATGGCACTTTTGCTTGTTGAACTGAGAGTTGAAGGTGAAACATCAAAACCCCTAAAAAACAGAGATGTTCTGGGTAGCTGATGATGTATGTGGTGCACACCCTACATCTAACCACTCAACAAACACCCTTGTGTTTGTAAGTGTCTAAAAGAATCTGACAGCCATGCAAACATCGGACGGTGTCTGCAGCCAAAAACACAGACAGACGACCCATTCAGGAGCGAAGCAAAGTCTGGAGTCAGGAACTCTTTTCCTGCTGCAGATCCCTGGTTTGCAAAGTGTTGTCCCACTGCTTCAATTACACTTGTTTTTCACAAGCACAGCCATCCATATGAATGAAATCTTGAGAGGACAATGAGAAACTAATTATATATATTACATTACATGCTGCTGGTAGCCATTATATCAATTTTTTTCTTTAAAAATGTCCACATCATCATCTCTACTTTTGCTTAGAATATTAAGTAAATTGACTTGTTCCACCAAAACACTGAGCTTCATTGCAACCCGTGTAAAAAATGTGATGTTGTTAGACTTGACTTTTACGTCTCAATACCACACACCAAAAATATTTCTACATTTGACAGACGTTCAGTTGAAAGGCATTGAAATGATTTTGGCTCCAGTGTGAAACGATCATGGTGGGCAGGCTGCTATATCCTCACTATGATCAAGACCATAACTAAACACGGTTGACTGACTGACTAAAACATAAAAAGATTATATACTTATATATGTCGACTCTTAAGTAATGCATTATGAAGAAACTAAAAATTAAAAATACAATATTGTTGTTACTCATCTGGGTCTCAAACCAAACTTAATATGCCAGAAACAGCTTCCACAGATGGATAAAGACATTTACTTTGCAAACCCTTGTGTAACAGAGTTGAGGTTGGTTATTCTAACTCAAGCACTTACACTATATCAGTGGTAAACATTTTAAACATTTCCTTCAATACCCTGCCATGACTGTCTCTGATAGGATTTGATTTGAGTTTGTAGAAAGACTGGGAAGACTCAATTCTAGCGTGAATGAAAGCAAGCAATACAATGCTACCTGAGCCCTCATTACACAACCAACAGAGCTGGACAGAATGTATGTTTTCATCCGATTCCATCTGTCCATCTCCTCAGGCTATCTCTAAAAGTTACGGATAGATTTGGTAAAGAATTAATCAAAGCACTGAGCTGAACTGTGCAGAATAAACATGAAGTGGTTACAGCAGGCCTACATTTATTTTGTAGTGTTTGTGTGTATGTATGTGTGTGTGTGGTGCAAGGCATGTTTGCTGAGAAGTTACCAACCCAAAGATGTCCTTATGGGATGTTACACCACAGATAGTGAACACTCTCCTCTGGGAATTTTAATACTATATATGGGCACGGAATTTGCAGGTCTTCAAAAAGTCTTCAAAGTCAAAAAGCCTTCAGCATTTAAAAAGTGACCTTGGAAATAAGCCGATTAAGTGAAACTGTGTATTTCACTATTTGGCAGCTTGTGGTGTGATATTTTTCTTTTTGTAATGCAGAAAAAAAACAAGGCGAGCTGAATTTTCATGATGAAACTTCAACAAACAGATATGTTGTGCCTGAATGCAAAGTTGGTTAACCAGAAAATCTTAGATTGGTTACAATAGATTGGTATTATGGTTACAAGAGGCAGTGAGATGGCTGGGAAGAGGCCAGTTGTGCAGCTGCAAATCAAATACACTCTGCTATCCAATGAAGTCAAGAGAGAAAAGGGGCACTGATTAGAGGTCAGCTGTTAGATGGGTTGGAGTGCTGTTATACTTAAGCCTCACATCATTGGCCTTGACTACCAGATTTTTAAACAAATTAGCTGTCTGTCATTGATTATATTTACATTTTACAATCAGCAATCAAAGTGTGAATGGCCCAAATAAACAACAACCACTGATCTTCCTCAAAGGAGCACAACCAAAGTGAGATTGAAGCTGCAACAAAAGCAAGGACTGGATTATGACAGGAGTAGAGTCTCTGCTGGTTGCTACACCCAGTACTACTTTCATTCATGTTCATACAAATGCTGTAGTTTATTTTCCCAACATTACACCTGCAGGAGAAATCAATGCTCTTTGCAGAGACGTAATGTCACAATTCCACACACTGTAAAACACTTGTTAAGATAAGTGCTATAAAAATATTTTTTTCACCAGTTAAGTAGTTTAATTGAATTTGTTTAATTCAATTGATTTGAGTTGTAGATGAAAAAAGTATCTTTTTCACTCAATTACTTTGTTGTCATCTACAACTGCGTATAAAGACACAATCCTAAATGATGAAAGGGTTCCTTGCAAAAAGATCCTATTGCCTCATAAAAATGTGTCATTTAAAAGGGTCCCATGTTGCATATTAGGCTGAACGGTAAGTATTTTATTGGTTTATTCCCGCAATGTTTAGACTCAATAGATTTAAATGTGAAACGCTTATTTGTCTGTCCTGCAAGAGAGATCCCTCTTCTTGTTGAGATTTGTGCCTTATTTATAACCTATTAAAGGCTTTTTGTGGAGGTTTTCCTCATTGGAACTGAGGGTCCAAGGAAAGAGGGTGTTTTTTGATTTTTGGCAGTGTGAATAAAACTGACTTTACATTTAAGCCAGCAATTAAAAAGTAAATAAATAATTCAGCATTTCCCCACCAGACGTTATATAATGTTATGTATAAAGGCTTTGAAGCTGCATTTACACCTTCATGTTTGGAAATGCAATTTCCAGTCAACATAATAAACAGGATTTGAAAATATCCAAACTTTTGCAAACGTTTTAGACACTTTTTTTTCCACAATTTTGAAGGGGTTGTGATAGGGGGTGGCTGCATTAAGGGGACCTGCACTTCTCTGTATTTTTAAAACCCTACCTACGATATAATATTCTTTGTGGGATTTGAACGTTTACAGTCATTTTATTACAGTTAGCAGAAGTAGCATTCCTTGAGATTCAACAAAAATATGTGTGTGTGTGAAGAGGACCTTAAGAGATATTCTGCCGAATAATGCAGGCTATCTGCCGAGATTTCCATCCACCTCTTTTCTCAGCAAATAGGCCTATGGAGGTGCATGCAATTCTAAGCGGGTTTCCCGGGGGCCATTTTCCCAGCTGCAGTTGAAGGCATCATGAAACCCTGATCCATTGATCCGGAGATCCAGGCGCCGGTGTAGGACTCTTGCGTTTCCACGCCTCCCACTTTCACCCCCATTGTGGTGAATCTCCGGCTCGCACACACTTTGCCAGACTTCCAGGAGTTGGAGCGAGTGACCGAAGTCGTTTAAACTGGAAAAACCCTGTCCTCTCTCACGCATGGATATACTTTCTTCTTTTGAGGGATTTGGAGGAGTTGCAATGGTTTGCGCTTCTGAAAACTGTGAAGACTTATACCGGAGAGAAAGGGCTCACGTACTCTACGCTACGAAGTTGTAAAAGTAGTTTCCCTTGAAGTTTTTTTTTCTTTCCGCCACCAGTTCAGACTCGGCGTTTCTCCAGCCTGTAGACGCACTGCCATCATGGCGAGGCGGGCAGGAGAGAAACCTCTGGTTTTGACGCCGGATACGCGCGCAGCTTTCCGGGAGAAACACCGCCTGTTTCACGGGAGCTTCTTGGCTTTTTCTTGGAGCTTCGTTTTAATCTTGTCGGCTCTTTCTTGTGGATATTGCGGAGCTGAGACGGAGTTTTCCATCCTGGAAGAAGCGCAAGTTTTGGCCGAGCAGATGAAAAAGCTGTCCTCGCAGGAGCTAGGAGTCTTTACTATGCAGGTAAACGTGGAGGAGAAATCTTTTTTGTTGTTGTTGTTGTGCTTTTGTTTGTAAAACCCAGATATGCATATGCCACTTCGAGTTGTGGCGGATTTAAAGAGCAAAACTGGCACAAACAGGATTGTCAGTAGGCCAAAACATCAAATTCATGAAATAATCACAGAGGGAAACTTTGTTGATAGAAATGTTACAGTGGAACGAAACAGTTGGCTATTTGGTTGTCAGTGTTGTCTCGCTCAGTGTTGCAGTGCAACAACAGGCGCTTTGAAGTTGAGAGGCTTTTATTTGGGGCATCAGCACGCTGCAGGTTTGGTGTTGTGGGCGGCTCGTTTCACCCTTTATTATTCCCGAATCTGACGAATATACACATTTACTGTGTGTGTCTGTTGCAAATGTGAATAGACATGTCACCTTTTTTGCCACACTTTTTTCTTATAACACATTGATCCTTATTTATCTTCATAAATAACCAGCTTGGTACAGTTAACTGTGATGTGTTCTAAGGTCATCAGACTGGTTACAAAGATGGGCGCATGCTATTGTGCAGATAAAAAGCTAGTTATAATTCAGCTAGCTGCCTAAGAATCTGTGCTAAGTGGTCCACCCGAACATCAAATAACAGGAATAAATCCATTTTTATCGAAGTTGGCTGCAGCCCACAAACCCAGTCAGAAAATCAGCTTCAGGACACAAGGGGAACTGATACTGCTCATGATGCAATAAATAAAACCAGAGTATGTCATGTGGAATGAAACACATTGTCTCCATCAGATATTTTCAGATAAGTTATTTTCGTGGGGAGGAAGGGTTATTGATTTGCTTGGTTGATAAAATGTCAGAAAATAGTGAAATATGCCCATCACATGTTCCCAGAGCTCAAGCTGGCGAGATGTCTTCAAACTGATTGATGTGCTTGACCAAAAAGGTTTACAATGAAGAAAAAGGAGAAAAACAGCAAATTTGAAACGTTTATTCTTTTTTTGCATTTTTGCTTTATATATGACTTAAGTGACAACTCTGTTATCAAATGTCAATGTTGTAAACTATTTAGTTTGTCATTGACTAATTGATTCATTGTTTCAACTCTTGACTTCAACTGACATGATTTTGTGTTTTATTATTTTTCTGCCCATACTCTTATTTTCTAGCCAGTAACCATCCCATTTTGATGTGTATCCTCTTATTACATTATATAAACCTTGATTCACTTGAAACATTGATTTTAGAGCTGAAACTATTAGTCGATTATTTGGTTGACAGAAAATGTATAACTACTTTGCAAATGAAAGTCATTCGGTTCAGAAAATTTTCAAGAAAAAAGTTAATTCCGAGGATTTGCTGTCTTATGTGACAATAAATTGAACTCTTTTGGTTTTGGGCTAGGTTGGACAAAACACCTTGAGCTTTAGGAAACGTTAACAGACATTTTTCACTACTTTATGGCATTTTATAGACCAAACAATTATTAGATTAATCAAGAAAAGGATCCGCAGTTTTTAAACCTACTATGTGAACACAGCACAAACACCAAATGGCAGGAGGTGCTTGGTGCAGGGCCGGGTGCTGCAGGGTGTGAGGGGTGTGTTTGCACTACAGAGGCAGAGGCGCTCACAGGCCTTGAACACAGAGGCGAGGCAACGGGGGGGCCCTGACCCCAAATGGTGTTTCATCTTCTCAGCTTCCACACTGAGCTGCCTTCATCCCGGCTCTGGGAGTCGGCTTTGAGGGCTGCCTCTGATCCCCCCCAGATTCGCCTTTGTCACTGCTCATCCCTCCCTGAGCTCCAGTTTGTACTTGGTTTCTGTCTCATTGCTGCAGCTGCAAAGATGCAATTAATGCAAAATAATTTTGTTTTTTGTCTCACTTTATTTTTCATGACTCGTTGAGATTTCATATTCATGAAAATATGCATTCAGCATCACTCCCCTGTATCTTGGGAAAACAGTTTTGAGGCTATCATTTTGTTGTACAAGGTGTGAAAATCTGACTTGGCATGAAGCTAATGTGAGTTTGATTGAAGCGGTACATTTCACGAATATGACAGAGCGGTTTTCCGCAAATGTAAGAGATGTGCATTCAGTAAAAACAGTCCATGTCTGCCCACGAAAACAACTGCAGGAATCTGTCTACCATGCTGTTTGTGTGGACACCTGCTTTGATGCTCAGATGATGCCTGATTCACAGCCTGAAGGTGGGCCAGTTGAACAAGATTTCATTTTATCTTTCTCTTTTTGGCATGGAGGCATCAACATGCAAAGATCACGCTGTACTGTTTCGGAGAGGATCTGAAGGTTTTGTTATCAAGCAAGTGTCCCAGCATCTCCATTTAAAACGTAATTGTACCCCTCTCCACTCCACCCCTCATTCTCTGCAGATGTGTAATTTGAGGCTTGCCTTGTCAGTGCTTCGGAGTCACTGGGTCAGACTTGTTCAATCTGTCATTGAGTTTCTCAGTCATCAGGGGACATCAGGGTGTACAGTTGACACTCACCGGTGTTTTTTGCAGATTAATGTTGTAAAAGCAATTCCCTGGGAAGTTTCAATGGGTTTTATTTTTCACACTTAAGGTATTCTGCTACACTTAGTTCAGTTTATTTTAATGAAATCAGTTTATTTCGATAGGATTATTTTAACTACAAACTGTAAAGTTTGTTTTAGGGCTGCAACGAACTCCTGTTATTAATTAGTCTATGTATAATCTTTCCTCTATCGTTTGCTTATTGTTTTAATCTGTGAAATGTCAATCATGCCCATCAGAAAATGCTCACAGCCAAAGATGACTTCAAATGTTTAATGCTGTCCAACCAACAGTCCAAAACCCACAGAAGATATTTTTTTCTGTTCTATGTCACAAAGAAAACGATCAAATGCTCAAAAGTGAGAAGACGGTATCAGTGAATGTCATCGACTAATTGACTAATATTTTTAGTCATACTTTGTTGACAGGTTCATAACAGTGCAATTACAATGCTCAGCTTTTAGCAGTGCAGGGGACATATTTCAGCTTTCCCTACATTTTGTTCATTGTGTGGTATCTTAGTATACTATAGCCTTTTCCCATTATTTATATTCATATTAAATTTTCCATGAGCTTAATGTGTTAATTATGTCAAACGGCCTTTGTGTGGCTCCTGTTGAGTTGTTGCTATTGCATACTATTTGTTGCATCTTTGAATTGTTGCAGCATGGCTTTGTCTCTCAGACCTCGCAGGTTCTCAGAGTATAAATCACAACGAAGGTTAAGAATAGTACTTCCATTTTAAGACATTATTTCATATCGTTCCGAAAGATTTGTGACACGGATTTCTGCCATGCAGCTCTCAGTGGGTTTTCAGAAAGGAGACAGTCCTCTCTGATATATGTAACTAATGAGCATTTCATGTCAGATTGTCTGCGGCTTAAGCGGGAGGTTTTACACAGCAAATTGGACTTAGCCTGGGATGTAAATATGATATTTAATGTCCTTTCCCATTCCCATGTTATTAAAACAGGGGCCTTGTGCTACTCTATGTCATGTGGCCGCCTGCTAGAGCCAGGACCATGGTACACGTTTCCAGCCACAGTTTTAGTAACACATGTTTTGCTGTTGGAAACATGGAAAACCATAACGGTGTAATGAACTGGCATGAATAGATTGTCACTAATGGTAAGCCAATCACTCATCATGGTGTGAAAAGTCCTGTTCCCTTGCTTTTACTGAGAAGGTATTTTAGCCCTGTTGGCTGATTATTTACAAAGGAAATTTCCCTCTGTTAGTTTGAAGGGCCTTAATCCACAGAGAAGTGTGGTTTGTTATTGAGGCTGGCTCGTCCAGTATACCCGGGCCCCTAATTGAATACTGATAGTAATTTGAGGGCAGTGGAGGTTTGTGCAGGAAAAGAGAAAATTGTGGTAGCTCTGGCACCGTCATTAAGCTGTGATTTTCTGGGTTGGGTTTGGTCCAAGGGCAACACCAGTTGAGGGGCTATCACAGAGCCCCAACTCCTGCTTTGTTGTTGTTGTTGTTTTTTTTTCACTCGGACTAGACATTTTTTGTAGGCCTATTTTAATAAATGGCTTCTCTCTCCTTTGTTTCAACCTGCCATTCATTTAATCTCTTTTTCCTACGTTCTCTTTTTGTCTGTCTCTAGGCTGCTTATGCTGCGTTCCTTCTCTTTTCCTTGCTTTGTATTGAATCAGTTGCAGAGACTAGCAGAGAGGGGGAGGAGGAGGGTTATGGAATATACAGCAGGACATCAGAATTCCTGCTAGGTTCTCTGCAGTACAACTTCAAAGCCTTCTTGCCTCTTACTGCAAAGCCTGCATGGCTGTGTTCTCTAACAGTCAAGGTTACTATGAGCCTCACCGGCCCTCTGCTACATGTGGGACTATTACTATCGCTCATTCATTCTCTCTTTTGACTTTGAGTACGTTTTTCTCTGTTTTGCTGCCCAACATTGCACATTTCCAAGCATATTCTTCTCAATGAATAAAATGAAGCTAAATGTATGTATGAACCACTGTATATCCAGTCTGACATGCTGCAGCACTCCACGCAGGCCTTGTAGAAATTCACTGCATGTTTAATTGAATAGAAGGTTATAGTGTGTGTGTGTGTGTGTGTGTGTATGTATGTATGTATGTATGTTTTCCAGGTGCTATGAACGAGAAGTACATGCACAACATAACATTTTTCTTCACAATAACACTCCTCCAAAGGGCAAATGGGCAGTTGAGTGTCAAATATATCTGTAAGCACATTCCTGCACTTGTCTTGTTGGGGATATAATTGGGCTCTTTTTGTTGTCCACCCCTCAGGGCACAGAGGCGTGGGAAACAACAATGGCTGTACATAACGATTATTTTTCAAATCGATTAATCAAACTATTTTTTTTCGATTAATCTAATGACTAATTTGTGTATTCTAAAGAAAAAAATGTTGCCTTTTACTCGATTAACATACCAGTTTATCCAAAATAAGTATCAAAAACATGTCTAATCATTAAATCAGTATTTTAATC